ACGGCCTAAGGCACGACACGTGAAATGCGGGGTGGATCCACATGGAGGGCGGAAGGCGTAGCACTGGCAGGCTGAACCCCGTTATCCCCGTTATCCACTTTTAGCTTAATCCACGTATGTTCCCACATGATCCTAACGTTATAACCCAAGGATTTCAGATATTCCAACCGTTCCGTGGTGCGTTGATAAAGTTCACCTTGTAACTCACCGGTCAGAGGGTTCTCGGCGTTAGGGTCCGAACATTTCGGACACCCGTGAAACACGCAGCCCAGAAATTCAAACACGGTGTTGGTCCGTTCGCAAAACCCGTCCACAAAAATAGATCCAACTTTCTTTTCCCCCATGTTCAGCGCATGTTGGATAAAAACGTTCTCCTTGAACTTGACAAACTCTAACCACTGTATACTGCAATTTGAAAAATGAATATTCAAATTGAATATCATGAATATCATGCAGGCTTTTCTTAAAATAACCACATCATTCTTACAATATTGGTACAGTTCCTTTTTTAAATTAAACACACCATTTTTTACAGAATCGTACCAGTTTATAAATTCAGTCCGCTCCGTAGGAGCCATTTGTGAATATCCGTACATATCAGGTTTCGGGTAACGTCCAACATAACACAAATTATCTTTTGTGTGAAAATAATGAGGAAAATAACCCTTTTTCTCATTTTCAAAACCAAAACTTTTGGGTAAATCAGCCAGTTTCATTTGGAAGAAGCTCAGGCTGTCTATGTAACGTTGTTTGAAAAAAATATCGGTCATGCATAAGATTTTATTTCCTTGAGTAATGAGATGCGGTACTATTTTGTTAGGTAATTTAGCATAAAATACGAATCATAACCGCTGCTGTTGTGAGCGATAAATGTATACTTTTTGTATCTGTTTTTTCTAAAACGCTTAAAAAACTTTGCTATGCAGTCGCGACCCGTGGCGCACCAATTTCGACCTTCATACGTGACGGTGTGTATATGTATCGCCGCGTGCTCGTTTTGTTCCGTAAAACGGGACTCTACGTCAAAAAATACATATTTCTGTGTTCACGGCCTCGGCAAAGTGGGTCTGATAAAACATTGGTGTTTAGAGGGATCCTCTTTCTCGGCTAAAGGCAACTTGCAAATGTTACACGTGGTCCAGGGACACTTGTAGAGTTTGGTCGTCACTATGTATGAGCGATTACAGTTTTCGCACCGTTTCACCTTATCACAATATCCCATTCGTTTGTGGTGTGAAAAACAATCCTGTGATCTGCAGAATCTAAGACACTCCGCGCACCTCGCACATCGCAGCGGTGCATGTATTTACTGTGCGAATACGGCTTGTGACAGGCTTTGCACACGTTTAACACCGAGAAAACCTTTTAAATTCAAAATACCATAATAATGATTGTTTAGCAAAAGAAGGTAATAGGTCTTCTCGTGCGGCTGTTCATGCGTTTGGAAAGTCTGAAACGAACCACCATTGTTTACTCTGTAAAGAATCACAATTTTGACATTTAAAAACTGTTCGAATCAAGTCACGTCGTTAAATGAAACTAAATGTTCCGGTGAAATATTTAACCAATTTAAAAGTAATAGAGCTTCCTTTTGACATTCGCTTTGGGTCAAACCCGGTTTCATCACACCCGTCAAATAACACGCGAAGCAGGAATTTTGGTAAGTGTTTAAAAATATAACTAAATGTCTACTTTTTTTTGTAAGTATTTCCGATGACAAAATACTGTTTATCATTCTGGAATAATCTATTCCGCCTCGAAAGTTTCTCACTATCTGAATGTTCAGTGTGAGTGATTTGTCGCTTAACAGTTTTTTATTGGACTGAACAACCGATTCTACGTAATTCAGAAAATGTTCAGCGTTCAGCTCCTCTGTGTTAGTTTGAAATATCACGGGCTAGAAAAGACTTTCACCTTTCAAACTTATTTGGATAATGTCATCCCCTTGTGAAACCTGTCTGGCTTTTTGTAACAAACGGTCTACTTGGTTGTGCAGAGCCTGCGTGAACTGAATTAAATTCAAACCTGTACCTAGATCCGATAAATTTATTTGATAATTGTATTCACTGTGATTAAACATGGGTCTGTATCTCTCCCTCACCCCATCCCCCTCCCCGCTTGTGGAGGGCCTGCTGATCGAAAGGTCTTCTGCGTGAATTTCAGGGTCTGCCGCCTGACACCTCCGTTCACACCCCGTCAAAGCGCTCCCATTTGCTCCATCGTTAATGTGTGACGCGTGTCCTTCGCTCTGCGGTGGTAACTCCCCCAAAGTCGATGCGTTGATATGCTGCATAAAAACATCCTGATTCGTTCCATCGTCAGCGTGTGAGGTAAAATCCGATAAATCCCATTCGTTCTGCGACGGTAATCCATCCTCAGCTTCGGTCAATATTCCTGTATCGTTTTGCTGAGCAATACTCATTCTATTGAATGAAGTCGCAGCGAAAAGTTCTGTCTACTAAAGTTTCAAGTTCAAACAAATTGACCGGATCTTCGACGTTTAGAAAGTTCACACTTCCGTTTGTCGCAACATGGTCATAGTCGTCGTTCTGTATCCTCTCATCAAAAAAAGATACAGCGTTGTCGTTAAATAAAACAGATCTCATCGTTGACGTCAAATTAGCAGAAACTCTCGACTCATCAACTCGCTCCTCGTAATCGGAGACCGGGCTGTAATCTGCGATCAACGGTCCGTCACCTGTGTTGGCACCGACTTTCGGCGTGTTGCAAACACGGTCACCGGGTCATGGCTGACAAACCCCCGGAATCTCTTCCTCCTCCTCCTCCTCGTCGTCCGAAATGAAAACATTGTCTGTTCGCGGTGGTGAGCGGACCGTGGCGGTGATACAGTTGACACAGTTGGTGACGTTGCAAACGATCACGCTGGGTCTTTCTTGAACCGCCGCCGAGTTTGTCGCATCTTTTTCAGGGGTGATATAAATAACTTCATCCACCGCCCCCGCTCTGAGTGATTCGTCTGAACCTGTGCTGCTGAAAGATCGCCACACGATCACGCTGGGTCTTTCCTGAACGACAGCTGAGTTTGGCGCATCCTTTTCTGGGGTGTTCCGAACAACACCATCCTCCACTGTGGATGATTCGTCAGAATCTGTGAGAAACATCGTACCTCTCGCAGATTCGGTGTCAGACTCGTACTCGGAGTCGGTCGATAAGTTTATCACCTCAGCTTCACCCCCAGCAGGGGTATTGTAATTGCTCGCAAACTGGTCCATAATGAGCAACTTTTTACAACTATTATGGCTCTCGGCCAGTTTTTATAGTATTGTGAGGAGAAAAACACCACGACACCTGTTCAATTATTAGTCACGCTTAGCAGAACGGGGGTCCCCCGTTTATACACATCAACCCCCTGGGAACATACTTCACATATTTCACATGTGATGTCACGCATAACTCATAAATCATTTTGACATTTACCGGGGTTAATAACTACTTGCATCGATAATCATTTTATAATCGCATCTCAGCCCTCTGAATCGTAATCGAATTGAATCGTGAGGTGCCTAGAGATTCCCACCCCTAGTGTGTAAGAGGTTTGATAGTGAGTGTGAGAGAGTTTGATAGTGTGTGTAAGAGGTTGTGTGTGTGTGTGTGTGTAAGAGTGAAGGTAAGTGTGAGAGAGTTTGATAGTGATCGTGTCAGTTTGATAGTGTGTGTGACAGAGTTTGATAGTGAGTGTGACAGAGTGTACTACGCAGTGATGCACTTTCGAGTCATAAAAGTACTTCATAACAATATTGCATAAAAACAGTGAGAGTTTGATAGTGTGTGTAAGAGGTTTGATAGTGAGTGTGAGAGAGTTTGATAATGTGTGTAAGAGGTTTGATAGCGAGTGTGAGAGAGTTTGATAGTGGGTAAGAGGGAATTTTAAAAAATTCAGTTTCAGTAAGACATTGCATCAACCACAGAGATTCAGAAGCCTTTCAGCACTGTTCCCACCAGGGGTTGCACCACCAAAGAAACTGGAGAAAGTTTGCAAATTAATGTTCAGCATTATTATGCATATTCCTAGTGCACTGTCACCCTTCTGTCTGTGTTGCAAACTGAAGCGTTAGGTGATGTAATTTATTAACATGATTCTACTGCATTTTACATAAGAGCACTGTCAGAATGGAAATAGTTTGCTAATTAGTTTTCATTTTCAGTGAAGATGAATGGAAAATGTACTCTTAGTTTTAAGGCAGGTCAGGATTCAAGACAGAAATTTTTTTTCCATGTTTCAGTAGTCTCTTTTTTAAATTTAAAGACAGCACATGAAGACCAGGCAGTTATGTTAATGGTGTAGACTTTAGTCTGAAAGCCTTGAAATCTGGGATTTACATTCTTTGCTAGAAATCTCAGAAGCTGCCTAAATATGCTTGTTGCGGTGTATTCAGATAAAGCTGACCTATTAGTACACTTGTGGTGTATTCAAATCACGCTGTCTTGATAACACACTTGTTAAAGTTAATAAAAAAATTAAAGCACCATTTTGATTTTCTGTTGCTTCTTTGATAAGCCAACTTGGCTTATGATGGCTTTACCTGAGTATGAATTGCAATATTTTGAGTCTTGAATTACTAGCAATATAGTCTTGCCGAGATGGTTGGATGAGAGAAATTGTCTTACATAGAGTGCATATGTTTTATTATTGCATTGAAACTGAATGTTATGATCAAGTTTAAAATGCTTTATTTACATCTTTATATACTAATTTTAAGACATTTAGTGATTTGAAGACCTAGATATTATTGCTTATCTGTAGAAATCTTACTAAGTAAAATTTGCCTACCCTATTGGCAATTTTTTTTTTTCCGTAATATAAGCATTTACATTTCATTTTCAATATATTTTTTGTTTTTGTAAAGTGCTTTATTTGCTGAACAAAAGGCTATTTACAGCAATGAGACAACTAACAACAAAAGATTTTAAATGAACACTTACAACAACTTCAACCATTAAGTTTAGGTGGACATTAGGACAGAAAGTCAGTAACTTACTGTAGTTTCTCCAGTTTACAGTCTTTATCCTCCAGTAGTTTAGAGAGCTTCTCCACTGCTGAATCTCCTAGTTTATTACAGCTCAGATTCAGCTCTTTCAGGCGTGATGGGTTTGACTGTAGAACTTGAATCAGAGCATCACAGCCTTTCTCTGTAATCTTGCAGATAGCCAGCCTGCAGAGAAAAAAAGAAAAAAAATAACACTTACAGCTCAACACACACACACACACACACACACACACACACACACACACACACAATGAAGTAATGAGTAACAGATTGGACCTTACAAGACCTCACTTTGTAGTTCCACAATTACAGTCCATCTGTTGCAGGTACTATTTGGGTAGTGGGTCGTTCTCAGCACTGCAGTGACACTGACATGGCAATGGTGTGATAGAGTGTGTTGCGCCAGTGCGAGTGGATCAGACACAGCAGTGCTGTAGGAGTTTTTAGACACTGTGTCCACTCTATTAGACACTTCTACCTTGTTGGTCCACCTTTTAGGTGTAAAGTCAGAGACAGTAGGTCTTCTATAGCTGCAGTTTGTTGAGCTGAGAAAATGGACAAAGAATGTAGAAATAAGGAGGTGCACATAATAAATGGATCAGTTGGTGTTTGGTAGATACAATTTCCAAGCTCGCCATGTATCGCAATATCGTAACATTAGACTATAGCCTATTACTGACAGCAATGCAGTCATCATTATACATTTCCAACACTTCTGCCCTAATTCAAAGCAATAGAGAGCAGCACAATGGAGTAGACATGTTTTTCTAAGATCCTCTGTGCCAAGTTTTTAAAACTTAATTTTCTCCCTGTCTCTCATTTCATTTTATATGTTCGCGTCTATCACTGACAATCACCGGCCCTCGACTGCAATCCACGGGTTTGTAATGCTGCCAAAAACATCCAAGCACTTGAAGGAACCCTAGGAGGCAGCGGCGGCCATGACAATTCTCTTAGCCAGGATGCTAGCCGCCATCAGTCTGATGAAGAGCTATCACTGATATGTGAGAAAATATCGAGTAAGATTTTGCAAACTATCAATGAGAGGTTTAACAAATTGGAACAGTCCTTACAATCCTTGCAAACAACAATGCAGGCATTTGCAGAGAGGACAGAGGCTATTGAGGGGCGAGACCACGAGGCCCATATTAGCTCCCTTGAGGTGGCCCTCGCTGACACCCAGAAGGCAAACAAAGCACCTAAGATAAAAGTCGATGAATTAAAGGGCCGGTCACTTTGCAACGTTAAAATAGTCGGCATTCCAAAAGGGAAGGAAAAAGGAAAGCCAACTGAATTCATTGCTGCCCTGATTCCTAAACTACTGTGGCGACACACACTTCCAGGAACACTTGATCATTGACCGGGCTCACCATGTTCTTCAGCCGAAACCAACAAAGGGGGCAAAGCCCCACACATTCATCGCCAGTGCATTTCTACCTGGAAAACTATGACTTAGGAGGGGACGCAACTTGGATTATAAAGTGTACATCTTTCCAGATTACACTGCTGAAGTGATGGAGCAGCGAAGGAAGTTCATGATGTGAGTTCTGAGAGAGCTAGAGGTGAGCCACACTCTCTATTTTCCTACGAAGCTTTCTGTTCAGCACAATGGCCAACTCAGGCTCTTTCCCTCTCCTGCAGAAGCTATGAAATTCATAGACACTGAACTGAAGTGAAGGTAATGAAGCATCGGCCACCATTGACTTTTATTGTCTCTCTGTGACTTCTCTAGTTTAACTACTTGTTTGCTCTAGAGATGATGTTTTTCATACATAGTCAGTTGCAGAGGGTAGCGAAACTGTTCTGGCTAGTTGTAGGCTCTTTATAGAGCTAACTGGGGTGTTATATATCTAATGGTATGTTTTCTGTCTATTTTGATCCTGTTTGTTTTCATTTATCTTAATGGGCTGTCTTTGATTTTCTTTTCCATATCTGTCCAGGCTAGCAATGCAGACTCAGGGCCAACTGGCTGTCTCAAGTCTATTAGGCACCATTTACTTCTAAAGCCAGAGGTGTGGCTGTACTTTTTTGCAAAAACATTTTATTTCACCTTAATTCCATGATTGCAGATACACATGACAGATAAATAATATCAGGGCACATTAATTCCTTTCCTTTAACTATGATCAATGTGTATGGTCCAAACTTTGATGATCCTGGATTGTTTCATAATTTATTTGATGCTATTCCAGATGGCAATGCCATGAATGTCATAATGGGTGGTGATTTTAACTGTTATCTAGACTCATACAAAGATAGACTCTCTCAGAGACCACCACTCACTATGGGATCAGTAAAAGTGTTAAATATTCTAACAAAATCTAGAAACATGATAGATATTTGGAGACTGCAACACCCCACACATAGAGATTATTCTTTTTACTCTGATGTTCATAAGTCATACACAAGGACTGATTATCTTCTAATTAGCTCTTAACTTGCATCTAATATTCACAGAACTAAATATCACAATATTCTGATATCTGATCATTGTCCAGTCACCCTCCAGCTCAAAGGAACTATGTCTAAATAAAATCACTGCTGGTGCTTTAACCCACTTTTACTTAAAGACGCATCGTTTAACCAGTACATGACAACAAAACGCAATGAATTCATTTAAACCAATGATAATGGAGAAGTCTCAGACTCTGTTTTGTAGAAAACCTTTAAGGCATTAATGAGAGGACATATTATATCCTTTGAGTCTCAGAAGAAAAAAATGCTCCATAGCAGACTTTTAGAGATTGAAAAAACCCTTATAAATCTTTTGCTTAAATTAAAAAAGAAACATTTCGAGCTAGGAGAAAAACCAGAGAGGCTGCTCACAAGACAACTAAGAGGAATACAAACTAAATAGGCAATTCACAAAATTAAATCAAAATTGGGTGATCTGACAATTGACCCAAAGCAGATCAATTATTACTTTAGAAAACTTTATTCAGCGTTATATTATACAAAACCTCAGGCAACATATTCAGACTAAAACAACTTTTTAAATATTTTGGATCTTCCTTAATTACCAGACACCTGTAGAAACAATTTGATTTTCTGATTTTCGGTGTCTGAAAAAGGGAAAGATGATACTTACCCTGCTTCTTATAGGCCCATCGCTCTTTTAAATTTTGATCAAAAAGTATTAACTAAGGTTTTATCAATTATGCTGGGAAAGTATATTTCATAAATTATACACCCAGACCAAACCGGCTTTATCCCAGGCAGGTTCTCATTTAGTAATGTGTGCCTACTTTTTAACATCCTATATGCAGATTTACCAAAAGACACTGCAGCTGCCATTACTTCTCTTGATGCCTAAAAGGCATTTAATCAGATAGAATGGCCACCTATGCTCGAGGTGCTTAGGAGATTTAGTTTTGGTGATTCCTTTATTGCATGGATAAGAATGTTTTATCTTATTTTATCTAGAACCACTGGCAATAGGGATAAAGAGTCATCCAAATATTTGTGGTATTAAATTGGGAAATGTAGAAAGCCTTGTGAATTTATATGCAGACAAATTGCTATTATGTGTATCTAACCTTGTATTTTCTGTTCCTAACTTACTGAACTACACTGATTCATTTAGTAAACTTTGAGGGTACAATCAATTGGAGTAAAAGCAAATTCATGCCCATTACTAAGAACCTTAGCCCCAATTTCCTAAGCTCCTTACCCTTAAATTAGTGATCACTTTACATATCTTGGTATTAGGATACCAAGAAACCCTAATCACTTGTTTAAATTGAATTTTTTAAACATGATTGATAAACTCAAAGCAAAAATTGAGATTTCAAGATTACTTCCTTTGTCAATGATTGGATGTATTAATGCTATTAAAATGGTTGTTCTTCCAAGAGTTTTATTTCTTTTTCAGAATATCCCTATTCATCTTTCTACAACTTTCTTCAAACAATTAGATGCAATTATTTTTCCATTTGTTTGGGCTTACAAGACACTGAGAATTTCAAAAAGTTCATCTTCAAAAACCCATTGCAGTTGGTGGCTTGGGCCTGCCTGTGTTCAAGAATTACTGGGCAGCATATGCCAGGGCACTTGAATTCTGGCAATGGGGTATTCCAGATGATTCTTGATTGGAGACCTCTCCACTGTGGCTGAGAACTGAAGATTTGTCAGTATCAAAGTCCTCTCTTCCTGTCTTACTTTTCTCAAAATCAAAACCCTCAACTAAACTAATTGGCAACAATTGTGTTATTCAAAGTTCTCTTAAGATCCTAAGTCAAATATAAAATTTCCTCTCTCTACCTCAGACTTCCATTTACACTCCAATAACTCACAACCATTGTTTTATTCCATCTCAATTAGATGATGTGTTCTCCACCTGGAGGGAAAAGGACTTCAGTGCCTCAGAGACGTTTACTAAGATGATATATCTGCCTCCTTCACTGAACGCCAATCCATATTTAATCTCCCGCATTCATATTTTTTTAGAAGTTTGCAAATTAGACATTATGTTAAAGAAAATATCCCACAGTTTTTAACCAAACTAAAGGAGCATGTTCTGTATGAACGCTTTCTCTCCAATCCTAAATCCAGGCATTTAGTTTACTGTTTTGTCTTCATTTTCACAATGACTGTGAATACTACTCATCTTAAAAAACCATGGTCCAATGAGCTGAACGAGACACTGTCTAAGGAAATATGGGAGGAGAGCTTATCTAGAATACACTCTTGCTCTATAAATTCAAAGTATAGCCTCATTTGTTAAGGTTTATTAAGTTTAAGGTTCTGCATAGATTCTATTACTCTAAATCTTGACTAGGTAAAATATACAGCTCGGTTTCCCCACAATGCGAAAGGTGTCATATTTCTGAGGGATCTCTATCACACTTATTCTGGTTCTGCCCTGAGATACATGATTATTGGATTCAAATTTTTCAGTGGGTTTCAAAAATGTTTAAGAAAAATATCTCTCCTGATCACAGTGTGGTAATTTTTTGGATGCTCGGACACAATCACTTCCTTTTCCTATACACAACAGCAGGCTTTGATAGCTGGTATGGTCATAGCTAAAAAAAGTTACTCTTTTGGTGTGGAAAACCCCAAATGCACATTGCTTCACTAGATGGTTAAAAGAGATGATTTTTATGATACAAATGGAACAACTGCATTCTAGTGAATCAAAAACACAATATATATATATATATATA